TCGTTTACGATTCATTTGCGACAAGAGTGCGAAAGTGCTCAGTAAGGGATCGTCGTTGCTCCTGAAAACTTAGCCGGGATTTGTGAGTGACTAAAGCTACGGAAATTCGGTTATCGGTCACGCGTTTGACACGACGATGAGTGTCGTTCATCGATTTAACTGTCAATTAATTGCGCTCTTAATAAGCTACGGAAAAATCATGGAATACCGATCTCACACAGACGCGCGACAGCGTCTCGTAACAGCCTCAACGTGTTGACTTGGATTCGTAGAAGGAACATTTCGGTGAATTTTAGGCAAAATTGTGCCGAGTCGAAATTGTGCGTGGGAAAAATGGCAAAGTGAAATATTTCGAAAATTTACGTCACGGCTGTGTAACATCTCGGTCAGGTTTTCTCGAATTTTCCCGGTTTCCAAAGATTTCCAACGCGTCTCGGACGATGCGTCTAAACTGTTCTCGGAAGAATTTTGAAGTTCGACGATAATTTAGACATTGTTTAACAGTTGTCCAAGAGCGAATTGGGCAGCAAAATAGAAATCTGAATGCTTCTTCTCGACGATTCTCGAAGAATTTCGCTTCGCTTCGCATCGTCGTCGTCGTCGTCGTCGACGAAGACGCCTCGAGCGATTGTGCGCGCGCAAGGCGGACAATCTTAAGGCCTTAAGGTCTTAAGGTCTTAAGGCGAACTCGAACTTCGACGAAGATGCTCCTCATTTTCGAGATGCCGCGATGATGTCTCGTCGATCTAAGATACGAGGTAATTCGACGTGTCCGGAGCCCGTTATTATCTACGTCTGAAGTTGGGATCGCCAACGAGAGAACGCCAACGAGCAGGAGACGAGTAGGATGATGGAGTCCCGCTCGCCTTTCTCTCGATGCATTAGGATTTCTACGAAAGAGTGAAGCAAGTATTTATTTTCAGGCGCTGTGAGACGAGATCGGTCGCTCCCCTCTTTCCCTCCTGTCCCTCCACCCCCCTTCGTCCCTCCTCCACCTCCTTTTCCTACCGACCCTTCTTCACGTGGGATTACAGGGGCGAAGCACACGTGGGCGGATCTACCGGCTCTCGGCGAGTATATAGTATTGTAAACTATCGCGCGAAGCGCTATCGTAACTATCGAGCGAGTAAATATTGACTAGACCCTAAAAATAGCGAGCGCCAACGCGGCGAATATGTGTGTCTGCATTCTCGGATCGACTAAGCGTGCGATCTCGCCGCCGCCGCCGCCGCCGTCGTCGTCGTCGTCGTAGCGCCAATCGCGAGGACGAGGTGAAAGCGCCGGAGAAAGTTTAGCATTTTTTCCTCCCTCGACGAGCGTGACACGAAGAGCGTGAAAAACTTCGAAAGAGAGAAACTAGAAAGAGAACGAAAAGAGAGGCAGAGAGAGAGAGAGAGAGAAAGAAGAGAGAGAGAGAGAGAGAGAGAGAGAGCGCGCGCGCGCGATCGGATGGAAATCGCACGATCGAAGAAGTGCCGTCGCGCGACACCGAAGGTTGCCGTGACAGTCGCGATATAAAATATACACACCAACGTAGAAAATTACCCGAGGGAATACATAAAGACGTCTCGGAGAAACATCTTTCAGACAACAAAATGTCCATGACACTTTCAAGGAAATACGCGCGCGGCTGGGGAAAGATGAAGGGAGGGGCGGGGAGAAGAAAATCGAAAACATCGGCCGATTATTAGCGCTCGCGTTCCGCGTATATCGATCAACCAACAACGAGCTCGAGGCTGTCCAGCGCGGCGCGACGCAGCGGCGAAGAGAGGTTCGGCCGTAAAATGCGCGTTATCACGCGCGCCGCTTTGTTTTGCCGCGCGCGCGATGTGGTCATCGACCGTTGAAAAATGGGGAATTCGTGATTTCCAGGAAAGAAATCTTTCAACGAGTTCAATATCTCGCGGAATTCACGGAAACGTCGTGGGCGTGTATTGGCCGGGCGCGTTCCAGTTATAGCCTGGAAGCCAAGGTCCCCCTCCTCCCTCCTGCGTCCCTTTCTTTTCCTCCAGCCCCGCGCGCGCGTGCGACACCCACGGCCGTCTCGTATATGAAATCGTCTACCGCTTTTTTCCCCGCCGTCTCTCCCCTCGCCGCGCTCACACATTCTCTCCCGCCCCTCTATCGCGCTCGCTCGCTCGCTCGCTCGCTCACTCGCTCGCTACCTTCTGTCGCTTTCTTTGTCTCGCATTCTCGTGCGCTTCACCGTAGCTCCGAAGGCTCGGAATATTTATGGGAGCGATATATACCGAACGACTTCACCGCGCGCACCTCGTCGTCGCGCGTACGAGGCGCGTTTCCCCGAAGCGAGCCATCTCTCTATTCAACAGCAGCGGGCAGCCGCGATAGAGGACCGAATGTGCGCTTCGCAGCTCTCCCCCTACGGCGGTACGGAGGACACCAGCGAGAGGAGAAAGAAACGTTTCGCGCTGTGCATCCCGGATCCCAAATCGCGCGCTACGTAAAACGCGCGTTTATTGTGCAGGCGCTTCTCTCTCGCTCGCCGAAACGGCGCTTTTTGTCGCTCGCGGAGAGCTCGGCGAGGGGGCCGCCAGAGCGGGAGAGCGCGATGTTAAAAATAGAAAAGATAACGGCCGTCTCTTTGGACGGCGGCGATAGAAATAGTACGATTACCTCCTTCGGCGCCTCCTCCGCTGGACAAACGCAGACCGGAGGACGGGATGTCGCTCCGCTCGCGCGAACAAGCAGGAGAAGAAGAGAACTCGGGCCTCTCCCGCACGTTCTCTCGACGCACGTTCTCGCCTTCCTCGCGGTGTTCCGCTCTAGAGACGCCACACTCCGCCTAGACGCGGCTCCACCCGGAGAGACGCGACTTCGCCGAAGCCGTGGCCGTAGGTCGACGCGAAACCGTCGTTCGCCGCCATCGGCGAAAGCGGTTGCGTCGTGGCTTGTACGTGCGATTCCCAGAAGCGCAACGCGACGAGGCTGCACATATCGGCAGGACGCGGCGGGAACGCGAGGCGTTCATGCGGGACGCGCGCGTCGTAAACGGCGACTCGCTCGCTCGGCTCCGGACGGCACGCACCACCAGATGGTCTTCGGACGCTCACGAAACATACATGGGAACGCAACGCGCGATGTCCGAGGATGTGCGTCTACTTGGCGACGAGCTTCGTGTCGTGTGCCGCCCTCTGTCACGATACGCTGCAACTACTGCGATGAAACAATAGCGGTTGATTCGCAGATTCATCGTTGAACGAAGCTCCGAAAGGCCGAGTATGTCGGACGGAGGACCGTGCGAATTTGTCGCGGGGATTTGTGAATCGGCGGTGTTGCAATCGCTCGATGCCTGCAGGCTCTCCATCCTTGGCGCTCGCTTCGTCTTAATTAGACGAAGCTGAGATTTGCTGCACTCTGTCCGCGATACGCAATCAGAGTTTTTCTCGGAAATACGTACAGTCAGCGGCAAGACAGTCGTGACGTTTCTCTTTTTCTCCTCGACGAGTTTCGCAACGCGTATGCGTTCAATAAGAGAATTTGTTGTCTGATAATTCCCGGAATCCCCATCGACTCCTCCATTAGATACCGAATGTGTCATGCTCGTCCGCGGAAAAATGTCCGCAATCTTTTTGCTACTGACTATAGACTGCGAAGTAATTACCGAGAACGGAGTTATTAAGAGCAGCACCTTCCGGTTCAGCTGCGGAATATGAAGATGGCGGCAGTAGTTTACTTATCACATCTATGGCCGGTATTCATAGTTAGGTCTTATATTTAAAATCGTCGTAAGTACACCTTCAGATATCCCGTAGCCAATGAAATAATTTATACAATATCTGAAGATGAACTTAAGACGGTCTTATAAATATAAGATCCGACTGTGAATACCAGCCTATACATATATGCGATATGCTATACATATAATTGTGCACCATGTGTTTATCCTCCGAATTGTAGATTGTTATAAACGGCAAAAGAAAATAAAAATTGGTAATTTAATTATATTTAATTATATTTATGAATTAAAAGTCAGAAATAGAAAAATACTGAACTCGATGCAATTGCGGAAAAAATATTTTTATCTTTATTCTACACGTTAAAAATTTCTCTTATTTTATATCATAATTTCATACGCACATTTTGGGACACATTCATCGTCTTCGTCGTTTCCATCCTCGTCGCCTTTGCTTTCGTCTTAGTCATCTTCGTCATCTTCATCGTCTTTGTCGTCTTCGTCTTCGTCATCTTCGTCTTCGTCGTCTACGTCATCTTCATCTTGGTCGTCTTCGTCTTCGTCTTTGTCGTCTTCCTCTTCGTCTTCGTCTAGTCTTAGTTTTCATCGTCTTCGTCTTCGTCTAGTCTTCGTTTTCATCGTCTTAGTTTTCGTCGTCTTCGTCTTCCTCTTCATCGTCTTCGTTTTCGTCGTCTACATCTTTGTCGTCTTCGTCTTCGTCGTCTGCGTCCGCGTTTTCGTCATCATCGTCATCGTTAGCGGCTGTGTTCCAATATTCACTGCCAGCACTGAAAATCTATAATATACGTGACACAAACTATGTATTTTCAATACTGGCAGTGAATTTTGGAACACAGCCATCGTCATCGTCGTCGTCATCATCGTCATTATTTCTTTTGCGAAGAGATTCTAAAGCCCGGTTCAGAATAGATTGCAAACACCCAATTGCGAGTTGCGAAGAATGGCAATTACTACTAGTTACTAGTTACAAAGTGTTATTTTCGGTCGTAAGACAATTGCGGTTGCTAAAAGAGAGTTGCCCAACTTTTAAAGGTCATTCTGCAATACGTGTCGTAAGTTGTAATAAGCCGTAAGAATTGGCGAATCACAGTCGATTATTACAAAAATAATCGGCTATAATTGGTCAGTTCTTACCGCTTACAACTTACGACACGTATTGTAGAATGACCTTAACTTCTTGGCGCGATGGCAACCGGCAAAATCGCAACGGGCAAATGCGTATCTATTCAACACAGGGACATAAAGTAAATGATTGGTTGGATCTGGTAATTCACCAGATAATACTTTGCATCGGTTGGTTGTGTGCAATCGTGCTGTGTCGAATTGGGTGATTCCCGTTTGCAACCTATTCCGGACCGGGCTTGAAAGCCCTCTATGTTACTTTGAGCTTTATCGAACTAAACTTATATTCACACGTGATTTTCTGACATAACCTTCGCAATTTCGTACAGTGTAGTACATAACCTCATATAAATACTATTATAACGATGCAAAACAAGCCGCAGCCACGATTACTTAACGTAAATAGAATACCTGGTCAACCGAAAAAGCGGAAAAAAATCACGCTTGTCTTCGACGAGAAGAAACGACGGTAATTATATATATATATATATATATTTAGAAATTGAGCGTTATAAAAAAAAAACTCAGAAAGAAGTTAAATCATGTTTATATGCAGAGAATTTTTAGGAGGGTTTCGTAAAAGAAAGCTAGAACGAAAAAAGAAAGCTCAGGAACAATTGCAACAACAATTGAAAGAAGATCGTAAAAAAATTAAGCAAGACGTAAGTAATACCATTGCATGAAGATCTTGAGTGAGCTTTAGGATATTGTAGATTACATCACTCATGTCACGTGTATTTTTCACAGATACGAGAGCGTTATAAAAAATTAGTATCGCAACGTAATATCCCAGAATTGGACGAACTGTTATCTCGAAAAGAATATGACTTGGAAGGTCATACAGTCAGTATTTTAGAATTAAATGTTGCGGATCTCACAAAAGGAAACGGATGGATAGGTCAAAATAAAGTTGCAGAGGAAGAGGAAGAAGATGAGGAACAAAATGAGGAAAATGAATGTTCAAATGATGATAATGACGATGATGATGACGACAAGATCATTGGGATGTCATTACAAGAAAAGCAGGACCAACAGCAAGAAACCAAGTCAACTGAACCAGAGATGAAATCTTCAAAAGAGGTGAAGCGGGAAATTAAGAAAGCAGCGCTAAAGCAAGTGAAAAAGAGCAAGGCTTTCCAACAGAAGCAAAAGATGGAGCAAATAAAAAATAGGAAGCAAAGTAGACGGAAATTGCGCAGAATTCAAAAGGTGGCGCGTAAGCATGGCAAACGCATCGAGAGAAGATTAGAACGTTAGGATTAATTATTTCTGTAAATTGGTTATGAATAAATGTATCTTTTAAAGAACATATATTAAATATATAGGTGTATATATGCACTTATCACTTCTTTATCTTTCCACGATTCTTCCTGTCATATGGACAGATATCTTTGTTGAGGCACTCTGAACATTTAGGGAACCGAGGTAGACAAATTTCTTGGCCAAATCCTACGAGAAGATGATTTACTTCGCTCCACAGAGGCTTAGGAAGCCAATCTTCCAGCTCATTTCTCGTTTCCTCTGGTGTCTTTGTCTGCTTTCTTACCCATTCTAATCTGTTGCTGATTCTATGAACATGCGTATCTACACCAATGCCAGATACTTCTCCCCATGCAATTTGCATGCATATGTGAGCCATTTTAGGGCCTACCCCTGGTAAGTCGCATAATTCTTTTATAGTTCTAGGAATATCACCATTATATTTATTTAAGAGGATAACTGATGTCTTCTTTATGTACTCTACTTTCCTCTAGAAAGAAATAAACTTTTAGAATAATGTTAGGTATTTCTCACATATTTCTGATAAAGACAAGTAAAATTGATACCTTCCAGAATCCAACTGGATATATGAGTTTGCCCAGAACATCATCAGGGGTTTCAGCTATTATATCTGGTTTGCAACCATAAATGTTCAGACGCTGCATAGCAGCATGTGTAACTTGATCTTTTGTCTGACTACTCAGCATCAGTGCTACTAATGACTGGTACCTAGACACCGATGGACTGGCATTGGGGTCTGCACACTTGTGGCAACCCATCTCATCAACCGGTGCTGTATTGTGCTTCCTCATCTCTCTAATATTTTCCAAAATAGTCTCCCAGTTAGGAGGCATCCACTGACTTTGCTTCTCGTCTTTGACATGCTTCGGATTTGTATCATCTCTTACAACTTCACTTTTCTCGATTTTCATATCACTTGCATCCTTTGACTGCTTTACATCTTCACTTTTTATCTCAAGTACTTTGGTATTGACAGTTTTTGTATCTGTCGATTTTCTCATATCTTCGCTCTTTATTTGTACGGTTGATATCACCTCGGTATTTTCAACGCTCGTATCGTCCTCTGCCGTATTGTATTCGATCTTGATTTGTGCTCGTTTCTTCGCACCTGTTTTTGTTGATGTTACCTTTTTACGAGCAAAATAAGGAGATGTTTCTTCTGAAGATTTCGCAGTAACGAGCGTTTTCCCAGAACGTAAAGTTCTTAATGCCGAAAGCGAGCCCAGTTTTTGTCTCTTGCTCATTTTGTCCAGGTAAAATATATTATGTATGTTAGAAATATGTCAAATTAATTCTTTCACATATGTGGGCTCGGACGTCGGATACCGCTATGGCTATTCGAAATTCGATTTGTTCTTTCTAGTTCTAGTTACCCTACTCGCACCACACTACACTCGAATTGTGGTAAGACACGAGAGGGCAGCACAGATTTTTACACACAGTTTTACAAATGTTTATGACGCATCATAAACAGTAAGTAGATTTTACATTTGCAAAAATATTTGAAAATCAGAAATTCTTCAAGTTGTAAAATACTTCTCTAGCCATCTTGTCATCAACATTTTCTATCATACACCCTGCCCGATGAATTTGGCTTATTTTACATTATGTACAAAAATGAAAAGTTTTATTCTTTTTGATCATGAGAATGAACCAACTTAAAATAAATTTGAATTTTCGATTAGTTATCGGATAGAGAATTACTAGGGTTCTGGATTTTTTCTCCGACGATTATAGAGATTTTCTTTATCCAACAGCCAATCGATGCATTCGATAAACTTCTAGTTATTCCACACGTAAAACGTTATTAGCTGTACGTCGCTACTTGTCAAATTTGCTCAGTATCCATTGCGAATGAATATCAACATAACCTAGCAGATCGCTCGATACAAGTGCTGATAGCTCACAGGTTTGAAATACAATTATTAACGCGAAGACGTGTATTATGGTTGGGTCTTTTAACAGAATAATTTGTAGAAAGATAAATCGTCACTTGCGAAATGCATACTTCCACCAACTTTGTTCTACGTGGCGGTGATGAGGCATTTGCCAACAGACAGAAATTGTTGTTCGATCAACTGTCGATCGCTGAAAATAAATGCAACAAACATGACAGATGTGAGGTAGACGGCGATAATACCGAAATGCACGTGGACGTGGACAAACATAACAGAAGCTCAGCTTCGAAAGATGACTTGAAACGAAGGAGAGAAACTAGGAAGTTCTGCGGCAAGGAGAGCATATTCAAGCGTCCCGAGGGCCGAGCACCCCGAACGAGTTTCAGAGGTGTCCCAGACTACCACAAGAATCCGCATAAATGGATCAAGTACAGTTTGGCGGACGTGTCCAACGAGGACATGACCGAACATAGCAATACGCAAGCTGCCATGTCGTTCTTGAAGGAATTAAAAGCACGTAGGAAGAAGGAAGAAGCAAATGAACTCAAGGAGAAGATGGACATTGAGTCTTGCGACTCGAATGCACAAGATTGTAAAGAGACAGTGTTCAAGCATAAGAAACGCAAATTAACATCGCAAATAGTATTCATGAAACCGCAGACGAAAGAGACAGAAGACTCACAAATGGTTGCGATCGAAGCAACTGAAAAACCCATGTTCAGAAGTAGTAAAATTATCTTGCCGGAATACGTGATCGGTCAACGACCGAAAAAGATCTCCAAACAGAATCGGCCCGTAATTAAAGGCGACCGTTTGAAAGAACTCAGATTAGATCATTTGGAAGAGCCCGACGAAGAAGAAGAAGAGGACAACTGAAGGAACTGCGTAATGTGTATAAGTGTTATCGCATACAAATATATGTAGAAATTAGTCATTTGCTTCAGCAAAATCAATGATTTATCGTCTACTTAAGACATTTTAGGGGAAATGACTGTATCATAATTATGAGAGAAACTAAACAAAAAAGCATATATACCAGGTATTGTAGCACTTTTTGTCATTATATTCCCTCAATATGAGCCGCAAGGTTGCTCTTTTAAAAATATTAAGCTTAAAGGTCATTTATTATAGACAATATTTATTTGATAATATTAAAGAGTCCAAAAATGTAAAGTAATCCAGTGTGGAATTATGTTAAAAGGTGTATCTGAAATTCGGTACATTGTGGAAACTATAACCTGAGCTGCATTGAAAATTAATTAGGCATTTAGTATGTTTACACACGGGTGTATTATGTTCATATTGCTGTAGTTCAGACTGCAAATAACGACACATACAATCCTCCTACATGACATAACTTGAAACTATAACGACGACAGAGTGAGACAACGATATAGAAAATTCACCGTTACTGTTTCACCGTATTGTAAATATGCCATGTCATTTATTACCAAGTCCATTTATAAATATGATACAGTTATGTAGCATGAATTGCTGTAGGGCAACGACCGGTGAGGATAAGGTCATCTTGGTCGATGTAATTCGTTATATTCTCTAAAACACATATTCTTTTGTATTCACTTGTTACTTCCAGCTAATCATTATTATATCGAATATCGCATATATTCGCACTACACACACACACACACACACAAACGCGTTCCATCGAAATAAAATAAAAAAATATCCCTGGGGCACGTTTTCTACACGGACATGATCGTTTTGAGAAGCGCCAAGCTTCGAACAATCTGCTTCGATGCGAAGTTCCTGCTGAGACGACTGTCAGGCCGAGACGAAGGCTCACTCGGAGTAAATTAAGCTATTACATTACATACGCGTGTGAGGAATTAATCTCGAAACACTGGAATGATCGGTTCCTCCTCGAGGAGACCGCCTTTCTCTGGCTGTGTGGTGCAATGTAGTGGTATCAGCTCATTTTGACGAATCGAGAACGCGGCGGCGGTGCTGCGCTCCTTTCACGTGTTACTTCGAAACGTAGCGAAATTCGAATGAATTAATTAGGCTAAATGTGTGCAGCAAGCGCGCTCGCAGTTTTGGCAAGTCGGAGTAAATATCTTCTACCGTAGTATCATTCTAGGATTTCGTTTCGGAAGAAGAGACGTATACGGACGAGGGAGATTTGCGAATTCACCGTGCAGCTCGTCTACTGGAATTCCGCAACTGCTTCTCGATCTCGAACTGTCGCAAGTCCGCTCTTTGGAGGAAATCTTGTCGCTCCAGATATCCGTCCTTGCCTTTGTTGTGAGTATGGAGCTCTTCTTCAATGTTCTCCTGCTTCTTGTAGCTGTCCCAGTCTAACTTGGATTTCTCTAGTGTGCTGATTTTGGCCTTCTTGCCGATTTGTCCCAAAACCGAGGAGATCCCACCTAATCCGACGCGCTTCATACTCCCTCGTCCTCGTCCTCGCCCGGGTCCTTTCCCCGCAGGAGGGCTAGATTCCGACGGTTTCGTAGAATTTTCAGCCACGGAAAGGGACAACCTGGCTTCTGCAGAGTCAACCGGAACTTCTTTCTCAACCTTCACCTCTTCACCAGCGAATTCGAAAATCTTTGTTATCTTGACTTTCTCCTGGGCTTCTGGCTTTTCTATCGGTGGGGATCTCTCCTTTGGTCTGTTAATTATATTTTGTGCTTTTGGCTTGGATACAACAGCTGCAAACAATTATATAAAAGAGTATCATCTCGAATTGACATCTCGACTTATGTAACTATGATGTTGCATATTCTGTTCTGTTCTCAAGATACTAGTGTATAGATTTTTTTTTACCTGTATCTTTCATAAAGTCAGCCCAGAGAGAATCTGCTCTCTTCTTCTCTTCTTCTTCAGTAAGTTCCTTCTTTTCTTTACATTCTTCTTTCTCTCCATTCTCTTCCTCCGATACCTTTGACTTGTTATCTAAGGTTCTCTTGCGCTTGGAGTTTTTACCTTTCCGTTTTATAGATTTTCTTGTATTTTTTCTCCGCCCAACATCTCTTTTATTCTCATCATTTTCATCTTCTGGACCACTTTCAACATCACCTTCAGATTCTACTTCTGAAACTGGATCACTGTCAGCACCATCAGGAACATAATCTTCATCATCATCATCAGAATCAGAAGGTAATTGATGTTCTTCAGACATGTTTAAATGCAAACCGATATAAAGAGCACCTAGAAATAAATGACACAATAACATCATGTAATATCTTCTAAAAACATGTTACATACCTCTTATTACTTAATTGTTTCTTGCTATTGCAAATATTTCTAAAAATCTTGATTAAATTTTTTGGTTCTTTTTATATTACATGTTTGTTTATAATTAAACGATCGCAGACACACACACACACATATACAGTTCTTATTATAAAAATTATTTATAATAAATGTTATATACTTATATATTTACGATTGATTATATATAATGTTTGCAATAATGTTTCTTTGTTCAAAGATATTCAAACAATAACGAGACAAAAGCGGCTGCGAAAAGATCAGTCGATAGATTAAAAATTCTATCAAATTATTGCATTTTTTTTGCACTATCGATATTACGAAACCTAACCTCTCTAATTAATGGAATTCAACGGCTTTCGACGATAATAAATATGATTTCAAATCGATTTCATTGCCCACCTTCTTTTAAACGGCGAGTCGTTGGTGCGAAATATTCCACGAGCAGACGCCGATTTGTGTTCCGGAAATGTCGTTATATCGACAGACGCTACCGCGGATTTAGCATTCGTCGTTGCGCACATGAATCGTCAACGAGGGCCTAAATCGATCTCGCGGTGCACGGAGGGGATACGGACTGTCCGAAAAATTCGCGAAGCGTCTGCGAAAGAGAAGCCAGAGTATCTCGCGAAGCGTCAAGATTCCGCTTAACTCGCAAATGCGCCTGGCACGCATCACGGTGATACACGGCCGCGCATTGGGCGCCATCTTTCATGAATCAGCGAGCTGCAATGCGAAAGTCGACGTTGTTACATCACCAGCTGTGTAAATCGGGCAACACACACATTATATGTACTTGTATTTTTATTACGATTATTTTATGCGATATATATATATATGTGTAAACAAATGCAAAGTTTAATGAAATAAAATTTCTATAAATTAATTATGATACATAGAAAAAAACTCATAAAAATTGTATAAAAACTTGTAACAACCGTGTAAAAAGCAATAAACAGTTCTGTTTGGAAAACTCTGCTCAAAAATAAATTTAAACAAAAATGCCAAGGTATTTTGAAGGAGTATTTGTCAAGAGCAGAGGGGAAATTATTAAAAGTAATCGAGTAATTATATATTCATCTTCCTTCAAATTAGACATAATGATTCAATTAAACATAATATTAAGCAGTTTAACATTTATTTTTTGATACAAAACCCTTGGAAAAAGCGAAAGAGATATTGATTTAAAAAATACCCACATAACACAAAACGTCCAAGGGACGTCCCAGGGATGTCCTAAGGACGTCTTTGGGACGTCCTTTGGACGTCTGTGCTATGTGGGTACTTATTAAACATCGTCAAATAATTAGGTTGTTCTTTCTTCAATTAGATAATATTTCATATTACTACTTTTATACCGCTTTTATTTATTTCTTTAAATTTAAGTTTTTTTCAATCTTGATTTTATTTATATGATTAATATTAGCTGCACATTATCCAAATGAAAAATTGAGGAAAACTTATCATCGTCACTGAAGAATATTACAGATTCTTATTACGGACATAATAGAAATTCCTCATGGATATCCCATTAAGGGAGAGAGAGAGAGAGAGAGAGAGGGGGGGACCACTGTAGTTTCTAATAATATCTCTTCGATGAAAAGTGATACGTAATCGTCGTAAATCTAATATAGCCTCGTAAATATGATATAGCCAATCAAGAAAAGTTGTTGTGGTTGCATATCTAGAATACGTATAGTTTATGCCGCTTACGGATTTAGGACCGGAAGTCAGAAGCGCCGGAAATGAGTGCCTGTTGCTAGATGACCCGTTCAACTAAAATTTGACGGTAACTGTAGGACTCTAATTTTTTGCCGACTATATTGTCATTTATCCGATACAAATATCTGAACGCTTTTTTTTATATATTGTATTAATTTTATGATTTGTTGTATCATCCAAATGTTCGATATATACGCATATAAGAAGCGATATATTTTGTTCTTTCAGTTTACGTATAAATTCAATCCTGAATCTTACTGTAAATGTTTTTACAGTACTGTACCGCGTTTTCGTGTTTTCGAACAAATGCTACGTGCAGTGTTAATTTTAATTGCGTCCTTTTTTATTAAACTAAACATGTTAATTCGCGATACAATGCATTAGATTACCCGTCCAGTTATTAACAAAAGCTATTAACAAAATTATAAGAAAGATAAAATAAGGAAAAATATGATGAGTTCTCATCAGAACTTGGGAGATTACACGCTCCTTGTATGAATTAAATTGTGTGTGTTTGATCTAGGTCGACACAAGGTAACACTGCCTGTTACTTGCAACTCGCTATAGATTTACAGTGCAGTTTTTCTTTCAATCAGCATGTACTACGAGACGTGCATGTGGTCGAGAGAAAATTAGTGAGTGTCGAGTTGCCGGATCTTTCACGGATCTGTTGAGCAGCAATAACTTAGCGCCTTCTTCAGGGCACTAAGTAGGATCAGCGGGGTCACCTCATGTTACAGGATCCATTTCTAATCCTAATTTCGACGAAACGTACGGCCGCCGGTCGACAGGGATTATCGGACTGGATTAATAGACTCTTTCCTTCGTTTTCAGGAATTCAAATGTAAGTCCGAATGGTCGAGGGTAGAGAGGAACATGTGCGCATACGCGGCCACTGTATCAGGGTGTGTTGGTTGTAAGAAGAGAAATGATTTCGAGACACACCGAGAGGGAACAACGTCGCTTCGTCGCGCGAATGATCGCGCATTATTACGAGTGCGGAGTTGTTGGTTACACGCGTTGACGATGAAGTTATCTAACCCGAGAGACTGAAAGAAACAAAGTAAAAACGCGCGTTGTTCAGTCTCACCCGGAGAGAAGCGCGTTAGAGAAGGCAAGACGACGTTTCTTTCGACGAGGATGTACGACTGTGCAACAGAAGTGAACACCGATCTCTCCCGATCAACGTACGGTATTAGACTGTCATAGCGTTGAATTGCGTGCTTTCGGCGGGTCTCTCCGAACGTCCTGCTCGAGAGGAAGAGAAGCGAGCGGAAGGATGTACCAGGTGGCTACGAATGCCGCAGCATCCGCGCGATTGGAGAGCGGTATCACGGAAAACGAAACGAGACGAATGAGACTGAAGCTCGGATGTTTGAAGGCTCCGCCTGGTTTTCGGGACGTCCCAAATCTCGTACCCCTCCAACCAATGTTTCTCGTCTCTCTCGTTTCACTGTATCTCTCTTTTCTCTCTCTCTCTCTCTCTCTCTTTCTTACACTCTCTCTTCCTTATTCCCTCCCCCTCTTTCTCTCTTTCTCCACCGTTCGTTCAGTCATGCTCCTCCACTTGGTCCTCTTTTCGACTTCACTTCGAGAACTTGAACCACCAATTAGTTTAACGCCGGAGACGCGGCCTCTCGCGACGTTTCGCCGATAGATAGCCGTATAAAGAAGCCATCGATTACGATTAGCAGGTATATCGAGCGAATCGCATCGTCGTTGAGCGGCTAGAATGCGCGCATAGACAGACGCGAGTGGTGATGCATGAGTTGATCACGTAGCCATCTTCGGAAATAGTCTTTGCGTTACTCCACTGCGAAAAGCAATAGTTCGGCTCCTCGTATTCGCGAGCTCGGGAATCGAGTGTGGTTTTCCGAGTAACGAGGATCGTTCTCCTCTCCGGTGAACATGCCATTTGCCTTCTACTTTCCTACCTATATTCTTGGATTTTTATTTCGGATATGTCACGAGTGATGTTTCTCTCTCTTTTTTCTCACTCTCTTTCTCTCCTTTCTTCCCACTTTTTCTTCATGAATATGCGTTAGGACGAACAAAGTGCCGCGAGAATTTTGAACAGTGCGTACATTGTGGATTTAAATATCAATTGGGACTGCCGACTTTAAAGAAGCACGTCTCCATTTTAGGTTACGTTTTAACCCTCTAAAATGCAATTTTTTTCCTGAAGATAAAAGAATGATGAAAGGTGAGACCAGCAAATATTAACTTTCAGATATAAATTAACAATTAATTTACAATTTTCAAATATTTTATTCTAAAAAGAAAAAACGGTTTGTGACTTTGAAATTATAGAGAATATCGATATATCATTATGTGACTTTAAAGTTACGTGGCGCTATAGTGGATTAAAGAGACATTTTCTAGAGAATGATTATCTCTTCGCTTCTCTCTCTCTCTCTCTCTCTCTCTCTCTCTCTCTCCGTTTTCCCCATCACGAGATCTTCACCTTAGAGATACATAAAGTTCAGATAAATAAGGTCAGACCTGTCAGACTTGACATATCTAATGTTACATGCTAATCTCTGTTTTTCTACGTTTGCACGATATCAGCGTAACTTTGTACATACTTTGTACATACACCGTATGTAACTCGGCGTTCCTTATTTTATACCCGTGTTATTCGAGATACGTGCGTGGAGTTTTCTGGGGTTTCTGAAATTAAAACAAGAAGAAGGAAATTATAAGCAGTCTTTGCTCTAAAAATTTGCCGGAAAGTTTCTTAAAATCGCGTAAAATTAAAAAGGCAATCGAGGTTAAATATCGCGTCGACGAAGGTATACAACGAATTCCCGTCGCCCAAACACGAAATATCTGAATTTATTAGCACTATTGATATCGCACTAATGTTGCCGTAGAACTGGCCAATTTATTAAACGAAGAAACGAACGAACGAACGAATCGAAATAAAACTTCGAAACAATTTCTTTAACTTCGAGTACAGATTTGGTAGAAATTCGTTGCCGCAGTCGGGAGGCAAAACTTTGATCAACATGCGTATAGGAGAAACCTCTCTAGAAGTGAATTTTTACTCAAGATAAACAGGATGCCCCGGAAGAGGCGCGCGTCGACCTCGTCGTTGGAGGAGTACCCCTCGGAGGAGAAGTACGCGAAGGACGACATGGACAGCCGGGCGCCGCGAAACGCGGCCAACGCCCGCGAACGCGCCAGGATGCGTGTCCTAAGCAAGGCATTTTGCAAATTGAAAACAACTTTGCCCTGGGTGCCTTCCGACACCAAGCTGAGCAAACTCGACACCTTGAGACTCGCCGCGACTTATATCGCTCATCTACGAGCGGTGCTCAAGGACGACGGTGAGGCTCATCCTGAAAGCACCAAGTCCTTGTCGCTGACTTTGGTGAGTGTCTGCGTCTGTTTTTACGAAACTTCAACCTAATAGAACATTTCTCCGCCGTTTCCTCCAATCCTAACTGCGACTTCGGGAAAATAACAAAGCGATCGAGAGGGTAACTCGGCTAACTTTGAACAACATTCGTTAGTAAGAACGATTAGTCTTGAACGATTTCGCGAAAATAACGCTAATTGAGTAAAAGTAAGGTAGCTCGCAGTGCGGAGATCAGTGCGCGACGGAGAAGATCGAAGGAAAATGGCTCGAGGATAGACGAAGGATTAACGAAGAGGAAAATGATTCTAGCCACGATGAAAGCCCTCTCTACTGCGAATCTTACCGGAGATTCAAATTATCCCAGCGAACTATTCCGTGCTATTGCGATCGGATTGTTGACTCGATGACGATTCCATAAAGGCGTAAAACAACACCGGATCCAGGTGGATCCACTCGGAATCGCGAGGCGAGCGCCGTCTTCGCAGTCATCCACTCTCTGTTTATGTCTGTCCAGGTGGATCGAATCACCCGAGAACCTTCCACCCACCCTTTGCCACCATTAATTCTAAGTTAGTTCCGTTGTTTGAAGAAAGACAAAAAGAGGAAGAAGAAGAAAAAGACGAAGCAGTCTCTCCCTTCGCGTTTCCCTCCGCGAAATAGTCGCCTTTTCCCTGCTCCCGTAAAGATCAAAGAGCGATTTTATTTCCAGGGCTGAAATTTCCACGCTGAATCTCTCCCGACGAATGTCGTGAGTCGACGTGACGCCTGTTGATAACGCGCAGTTGACAGATGTTTCACGCGACGATATCATGAAGCATCGATACCTACGATGCTACCCTATGCCCTAGCAGCTAATACGACTTCACTCGCGGAATCTAAATTATTCTCGTGGCAAATATTCTATCCGGCAAATAATTCAGTAATCTCTCGATTACTCTCTAATTAATACTCGAGATCACCGTATCGATTTAAGCGGTCGCCAAACGCGAATAGCACGTCCCACTGAAGGCGTCCCGGAATGAAGGAATTAACGAGAACACCCTGTCAATTACAGTCGTGGCCATTCGCCATACAAAACAGCAACGCCGCCGCGATGATGAACAACAGTTGCAATGTGTCCTCCTCGACTTCCACGGGCTGTAATCAGTATCGAGGACAGCAGGCGACTCACGACATACAAAACTTCCATCATTCGGGGCATCAGGGCGCGTCGACGCGCCACAATCAGGAGCAACAGCTCTCTTATTTCTAACGAGAAGAACAAAAAAGGAGGAGAGAAGGAAGGAAACCTCCTGACAATCGGAGAACTAGAGCGATATCTACGAAGAGAGAGAGAGAGAGAGAGAGAGAGAGAACGAGAGAGAGAGAGAGAGAGAGAGAGAGAGAGAGAGAGAGAGAGAGAGAGAGAGAGAGAGAGAGAGAGAGAGAACGACCGCAGCATCAGGCAAAAGTTATACGACTGCAGCACGACGACGGGACTGTCGTTCCCACGCCTTATTTATTCCGGAGAGTGCCTTGTTCCCTTACTATTTATTGATTTGTAATCTTAACGCGCTATTACAAAGTTCCCATACACGTGTGCGTGACACGAGGAAAAGTGAGACATCGTGTATTAATATTAACGATGTATTAAAATCAACACACACGTGCACGTGTGGGTTCGGTTGCGTCGCGAATTCGACGCGACCGAACCCTTCCGCGCTTTTACATATCGTTGTTACAAAAAGAAGTGCAATCCCCGTACGCGCATATGTTTAGTGAGATAACGATCTAAGTAAGCAGAAGCGGAAATATCCGTTTCCTTCTCGTTTGTGCAGAAAGGGAGAAAAATCCCGAGAAGTCGAGCGACATGAAACTCGTGACTCTTGCCTCAAGTACCTCGAATATTGCAATATACTACTGTACTATCGTAATCATAATTAATACCAAAGCATGTCAACTAGTCGAATAAAAGATGTTTCTAAGATTCTCCAAACGTCCCCCTTCACCTGTTCACCCGCTTCATCCGACACAGGCAGATTGACACAGGCGATCGAGAAATTTTACGCGGCGTCTCGCCGAAGCGCCGAAGCGGGGATGGGATCCGGAACAGCGGAGAGGAAGCGCAGAGGTAAGGTAAGAAGGATAAAGAAGTTCAAGTTAAATAAACAGCGCGAAGGGCCTTTTGTGTGTGTGAAAACCCGATACTAAAATAATATATCCCGTCCAGCGACACAAATCGACCGACGCCGAGCATATCGCCATCCCCGACACAGCTTCGAGACTTTACAGACGAGAAGTGACGCGCCGCCCGCGCTCTTTCGCTCGCGTCTTTACGAATTTCTACCGCACTATTTTCGGCCGCCATATGTCAGAGGTATACAGACACGTAAAAACCATTGCTCACAACGATCAAACTCGACTGTATCGCTGTTTATCGCTCCTCCCCTCTCCCTCCCCCCCCCCACGTCCCCCACACTTCAGCCACCTCTAACTCGATTGTCTTGTATTCTTTACAATGACGCTAATTTCCTAATGTATCAATGGATTTCTTGCTCCTTTATCTCCCTTATCCCCTCGCTGCTTATTTTTACGTATATTGTATATATAAATTATATATAAAATTTTGTCTATATGTGTATTGTCACATGTATAATCATGCGTTCATGCATATGGAGGCCATATTTTTTTAACAAAATAAAGGACTATTTTCCGATCGTTTTAGAAAAAAAAAAAATAAAAGAGATAGAGCAGCTAAATAAAGGACTGTTCTCTTGAATAAAGGACGTACGGTCATCATAATTATACATTATTACATATGGACAAAATGCATTTTTCTTCCGCCGTTAGTCATTTTTTCACGCTTAAGGATTTATCCTTAAGTCTTTGTCGCTGGGACTAAAATGCACTTTCATAGTGATATAACAATTAATCAACAAGAGGTGGTCGGTATATCGATCGATATACCAGATTACGATCAGCTGCAATCGAGAATGCAATCGACGACACAGTCATGTTGGAAAGTCGGCCCGGCCGGGAGGATTTCGCGGACTCGCGCGGCGCGGCGCGGCGCGGCGCGCGCACGCGCCCGCTTCCCCGCGCGGAGCGTTGCGCGCGGCAGCTTTGCACGCGCGGAACGACAACCTTACTCAGCGGAGACTCGCGGCGACCCAGTAGGGTGCCGGCCCTGAAGAGGTGCGATCGATTTTCTTTCTGTGTCGTTTCATTCATGTCACGGTGCGCGACTTCACGATGTAGCGCCAGGATATCGGAACCGCTCGGCTGATCAGATAGAGCTGCCTGCGACGTCATCCCGCTCGCTCGCCTATACGAGTCCATCGCTCAAACGAACGAAGCGCGATCAAACAATCGCGTCCTTCTCTTCGAGGTGATATATCCCGTTCATTCCTCATCCTTCTCTCCCCCTTCCCCTTCTCTCTCTCTCTCTCTCCCCCCCCCCTCGTTGTCGACTCGGTCGCGCGAGCGTACGCGGAAACACATTATCCCTCTCTCTTCCGGGACCAAGAACGTGGAGCCCTCACGGGAGCGGGCGTCGAAGCGCGCGGTGGCAACAGCAGCGCCAAAATGGCATTTGCCACGAGCACAGCTGTTGTTTACCCACAAAGCCGTGTGCAGGAGGACCACTGGTGGCTGCTGCAGCTTGCGCTAACGGGTCACTGAGGAACGAGCGGAGCGCGACACGCAGCTTCCTCGTCGGGATGATGGAAGATGCTCGCGAATGAGCGGGTTGGAGTAGCGAACGCTCGCGAGAAAGTGACGTGACGGCGACAACGACGGCGACGGCGACGGCGACGGCGACGGCGAGGAGGACGGTGGTCGTGGTGCTTCGAGGGAAGAGCGTGCACGCGAGGAAGCGCTCGATGGAAGAGGTTAGTGAGGCTCGCGGCGGCGGAAGTCACAGCAGCGGGTACGAATCGCGCGCGGGTAACTAACCTAGTCGCGTTCGCCATCGCCCCGAGCCAGGACGACGGCGAAGACGAGGACAGCGACGGCGACGGCGACGGCGACGGGGACGGCGGTGGTGGCGGTGGCGGCGGCGGCGGCGGCGACGGCGGCGAAGGACCACAGTCGAGAGGAGTCGATATCGAAGAAGAAAGTGTCCAAGTTAGTTCGCGCTCTCCGTCGGGAGATCAGTTACTTCTTTTCGCGGTGTATCCTGGCTGGTTATTCACCAGCCGTCGTTACGTAAAGGTGCAAACACGTGTTCTCGCGTCTCGCTCGATGTCATGTTGATGAAACTTCCATCAGTGGGGGACGTCACCGAGGCGGGTAACCTCGTCCGATTTACCGAGACTCGTCGAGTCGCAACGACGTGCCGCTGTGACGTGTGATGTTTTTCGACGAATTCACCGCGGAAGGTGCTGAGACACGAGTATGACGACAGGCTCTCTAAACGGAGCATCCGAGCAGCTCCGCGAATCGCTGTTGTTTTCATCAGTGAACTTGCAGCACTTGCCGGCGCGGCAACGCGACGATCGTCAGTTCTGCTCACGTTGGATCTTCATAACGTGATTTCCTCGCGATTTCAATCGGGTTAGGGTCGCTCGCTCGCTCGCTCGCTCTCTCGAAGGCTAAACTACGGCTGTGTTTTTGAGGTTAGGATGAGTCGACGAATGGTCTGCCGATAGCCCGAGCAAGAGCTTACTCACGCGTCTTTTATTGCTTCTCTTTGTGTCGTTCCCGCGCTTTGTCCCTTTGTGGCTTTGTTTTGCTAGCAGTGTGCCACATCGAGCGACACCTTGCTGTCTCACTTCTGTGCCTGTGCACTGTGCATCCTCCGGTAACACCGCAATCTTTCACTTCGTATTGTAGCGGTTCTACGTGGTTTACCGCTTAATCGATGCGCGATTGTTATTGCTCTTATATGACGTTTCTCCGGATTATTTCGCATTTTTGTGTGTGTGTGTGTGTGTGTGTGTGTCAGAAACATCTAATTATGGAACGTAGTATATGGACTTGGTACTGGAGTCTTTTCTCTCCTACTAAATAGCACTTGTATATTAATTTTTCCATGAGCTGTCGGACGAAATTTCTAGAAAGCAGCTGTACCTACCTGTCTCCTACGTTCCTCGTGAAAATCATTTATTACGCTTGATTGATAATTCTCTACTCGATGGATTTTGTGGGATTGAGGAGATACAACGTGTGTGTTTGTGATCAACAGGTATCATCATGAACGCCAGGACACAGCTGTTCGAATTGAGCATGGAGGGACGTCAGGTGGATGAAGCGGTGGCCAGTATATTCCACAGTGTTCTCTTTCATCGAAGCTTCGGCAAATTCAAGTACAAACAGGAGGGCAGCTACTCGGTAGGCACTGTGGGGTACCAGGATGTGGACTGTGACTTCATCGATTTCACTTATGTCTGCTGCTCGTCGGTGCACCTCGACCAAACGTTGAAGCGCGAGATCTCAGGCTTCTCGGAGGCCCTGCGCTCCACCGATAGCCCAGGCTCCGGCCAGATATCCTTGGAGTTTTTCCAACGTAAGAAGAACCGCTGGCCGTTTCAGCCGGAGTGCATACCGTGGGAAGTGTGGACCGTGCGTCTCGAGCTCATCAAACTGGCGACCGAGCACGAGCGGCAAATATGCCGGGAGAAAGTGGGTGATCTGCTGACCGACAAGATCCTCTACATCACCGAGGTGATGAATCGGCACGACTACATACCGAAAGTGCCGAGCCAGGCGGAGCTGGACCTGATCTTCGACACCTCGTATCCGGACATACAGCCGTATCTCTTCAAGCTGTCCTTCACGACCTCCGGCCCGTCGAGCACCACGATGGGCAACACGATGAAGAAATTGATCAGAGAGACACTGTCCATTTAGTCGTAGAACGCATAGTTCTTCGATAGAATTTCGACGTTGGCACATTTGTAGCTTAGCAGTTGCCTGGAAAGTCGCAGGACTCGCTCTCTCATTTTCTTGCTGCGATTCGCGAGCGTGCGCGCCCTTAGCTTCTCTTGTCCTCCGCGTTGCGCCGCACGCACGAGATAGATTATTTTGTTCCTCACGACTCTCCGATATACCTGTCTTAGCGTTTAGTAGGTTACTTCGTTTCTTCGGGTTCTGCGGAATTTTGCGGATACACGAAGGAAGTATAGCGCGAGTCCCGCGGGTTTTCGGTATTCACCTACCCCTAACGGACGTTCTCGGAAGTTCTCGATATATTCGTTTGTTCACTCGCATCAAATGACTCTCTGTTGGACCCTTTTGGTTGCGTGTAGTCGTTCCCGGTAACGGTAGTCTTGTATCTCGCGACATGACGCGGAAATAATACTTTGTACATTGCAGGGACTTCCGCCGCTGCTGCGTATCTGTAATTCTGTATAGTACAAATTCACATAACACACTCAAGATACATCCCCGCTTTTCTTTTGTATCTTACCGCGGACATTCATCGTGTAATTATTTTAGCAGGATCGTGACAGAGAGAGAGAGAGAGAGAGAGAGAGAGAGAGAGAGAGAGAGAGAGACACACATTTTATATAAAGATCTTTCACGTTATACCTCTTGATTTCACTTAAACTCTCCACGGATGGCAACTATTCGTGGCAGAGCTGCATTATGTTCCTCTCGTTTCTCATCGCCCTTTCTCCAACGTTGTATAAATACGGTTAGAATAGACTCGAGCGTTTAGCCTCTCCATTTTTATCTCCGAGCGTCGCGTGGCGGACGATCACTTCAATTACATTTAAGAATAAGGATTTCGAGTTCAGAGAGATTCCGAGATTCCGAGACTTTAGCCGCAAAGCAGAATGTTTTCGATGGGGATTCCCCCTTTAGCGTCCGCTAGAATCCTCGGGAGCGACTCGTCTCTCTCGAGGTGCTCGATACTTATCCTTCGATTAACTCAAACGGACACGACGGCCGTACTCAGCGTTGTACACTCTGGTTTTCAATCGCTAATGTGAAAGTATACACACACACACACACACACACACACACACACACATACGCATGGTTGTATCCTAAACGATCATATGAAATGCTTGGATTATCGCGCATGTGTACGTACATACATACATACATACCTGCTTACATACATGACATGTACGTCGCTGTTATCTTCGCCGCAGATTTAACGCTGGATAACCCGAGACCATGTCCTAATAATAATAATAATAATGTCGAGTCGTCCTTAGCGTAATGAAGGAGAGGAACGAAGTGAGAGCTCTAAAAAGGATCAGACCTAATCGGATCGTGTGAGACGAGCACGATGAGTCTCGCGGGGTTACATTTAGCCGTAAATATGCGGCGAGAGAACACGCCGGAGGTCCGGTGTGTTAATTGCGCAGCGCATCACGATTACACGCTCCACGCGCAATTATTTATTTGAACGTGTAACGAGATGGTAATACGTAACGTAACGTCGCGGACGCGTTATGTTAGCGCAGGCTAGTAGATAACGCAATTTTCCTCCTCTCGCACAGCTTTCGTTGCTCCCTAGGTTGCAATGACCGTTTGAAGCGGAGCGTAACGCGCGACGAGACAGAGTAGCCGCTAGGGCAACTGTTAACGAGGCACAAAGAAGAGGGGGGGGGGAGGGGAGGGAGTCGGGTGACGTGCGGAAGGAAGCGCGCGAAAAGAAGTCGCGGTCGCACGATTACATTTTTCCGGACGTTTTCGTGCCTTCGTATCTCGTATGGATTTCGATAGGTAAATTTAACGCTCTAGTAGGAAGTACTAACTTAACCGCATACCTAAAGCCAGTCGCGTGGTAAATATCATTTATTTATTGAACCTCGGAGCGCATCTCTCATTGTGTGTGTGAAACGAAGTGATAGGCGTATTTTCTTCCGCGCGGAAGACGCGAGAATCTGTGATTCTTCTTCTCGGGTGAGGCGCTTTTTCTTCTGTTCTCTGCGAAGTGCGAACGACACAGGGCTGTGTACGTGCGTTTATAAGCGTCGCGTGCTGTTTCCGGCTTTTTACCGAATTGACGGGGAACGCGCGGATTTCGGGACGCCGGCTGGGCTGGCGATCCTCTCTCTTACGCGCGACCGTATAATATTATTGTACAATGTAAATATATATAGCGTGTCCGAGAGAAAATTATACCGCGAAGCAAAGCCGTCGTGTGTGTGTGTATGCATGGGAGTGAGATGGAGGGTCCTCGCGCGCGCGCACGCGTGCGTTCCAAGATCCGCGTTGTCGGCCTTTCCTACCGACCAATCGACAAAAAAAAAAAAGATATCGTACGGCACGCATTAAGTAGCGATGTACCTTCTCGAGTCAACCGTGGGCGAGAAGTGTAATGTTAATTCGATATAAACGTACATCGTGTGGCCCCCGTGTTGTTTTCTCTCGCGGAGTTCTTCGACAGTAACTCGTAGCATCAATTGCGATCTTTTTTTTTTTGTTTGTTAAATCACCCACTCGGCGAATTGCAAGCGCGTTTACGTCGATCTTAGTCGATCGATGTTTCGTTTGTCTCGTACGTGTCGATCGAGAGAAAAAGAGAGAGAGAGAGAGAGAATAGGCAGGTGAGAGTGAGAAAGAGAGAAAGAGAACAGAAAAAACACAACAGTGATTGTCGATACTCTGCTGCGATTCTGAGTAGAAAATCGATTGCAATCTCTTTTCCCACTCGCGCATCATTCGGTACATACCGTGCACAACTGTAAAAAGTTAAATAACTCGCGTTATATAGTACGTACGTATCGTGCTCTATGACTATTGGGTCAAGATAGAGAAAGAAAGAAAGAGAGAGAGAGAGAGAGAGAGAGAGGCGCACGTATATACGTACGAGCGCATATATGTAATACATAAGACAGAGAAAGAACAATGGAAGACAGACCGACGGAGAGAAAGAAAGAGAGAGTGGATGAATGAATGAATAAATGAATAAACGAACGAACAAACGAACGAATGAATGAGTGAATGATAGAAAGAACGACTGATCACGTGTGTGTACGCGTAACTCGAGTTCTGCGATTCGTCAGATTGTCACACACACACACATACACATACACACACACACACACACACACACATGCTGTTATAAATAATTATATATAAATAATATATATATATATATATAAATAGCAAAATAATAGGAAGTAACGAGAAAAAATGTACATTATAAGTTGCGAGGCGGCGACAAAATGTGTAGTGTATAGTGAAAAAAGTGAAATATGTGCAGTTTTAATTTATCATGAGGAGTATGCTGATGATAAATGAGTAATTATTAATAAATCACTGTATTTTATAATGCCAACTTTATATGGAAACTCCCGCGTGCACCGCGTCGCACTTTCACCTTCCGACCTCGTTTTCTTCCGTATACATTGCGAGATGACGAAACATGCCTGTTTCTCGAGCGTGATCTTCGCAATCACGTGTCGACTTGTGTGATATTTGACGTTTCTTTTCTATTGCTGAACTGGCTGCACTTCCTTGCACTATTTCTCTTCCTCTCTTTTTCCCACCCGGCACTCTCAGCTCTGATCTGTTTCTTTTTCTGTTCATCCGTGAGTGTACTACACCAGTTCAACGACAAAAAAAGCAGATCTTTGACTGTGAGCGCGAATAAGGCGCGCATTTTTACCCCATTGCGTGCTGCGCCCTGACGGAAAACATCCGCAACTTTTGACGGGTGTCAAGTCTTAGGTTCATCCGGTAAAACGTCTGGTACAGTGTGTTAGCTTTGAAAAATCGGACATCTAGACATTTTTGTATATGATGGATGTGTGTGTGTGTGTGTGTGTGTGTGTGTGATGGAAAATCAATTTCCTTTTATCGCTGTTTATTGTTACGTAATATTGCTTCATAAAAGTTATTCATATATAGTTTTATATTTATACACGTAATGTTTTTATTATTTAATTTAACTTTTTACGACATGTTTATTTTATGAGTCCATTTGACTTTTGATAACTTGATGAATAACTTGGCAAATATATACGGAATTGATAAATAAATATAAATCATTCATTAAACTCCATGTATTGAATTATTCATTAATTCTGCAAACAAATAAATAACCGAATAAATATGCGGGATGTGCGCACGTCTCAACACGATATGTTGAATTTAAATATACTTGGACTTCGACCACACTGATGAGAGTGTGTGTGTCACGTGGCATCCCACAACATCCCCGATTACCGGGCAGTGTAGCGGCGCACCGACGCGGAAAACACTGGCGGGCGACATAATTTCGCTCTGTTTTATTCGTGACATTCTGCGACACCGACGTTCCTCCACGGTCGTCGCGCTCAAAAAAAAAAAAAGAGAACTGATCTCTACTGCTCCGAACGAACGAGCGACATTTTTCGCATACTTCCGCCGCTGGAAATCCTCGATGGGGCACATTCGCCTAGGGTGAGGCGCGCGCGAGCATATTTGACTCAAAGAATTTTTCCGCAATAAGATGCAGCTGCGGGTATTCCGGCAAAGTTCGCGGAGAAGACAGAAAGAGACAGAGAGAGAGAGAGAGAGAGAGAGAGAGAGAGAGGAATGGTGGGGGGAAGGAGGCAGGGAGACAGAGAGAGAGAGAGAGAGAGAGAGAGAACGAACCGCTCGTTCGAAACTGGACGCGCCGTCAAGGAGATATATTCATTTCGACTTTATTAGATTCTGAAAATCGCTCCTCTCACCATGGTCTCCCGTGTCGTTGTCGTACTCGCGAGAATTCCAAGTATCTTCGGCCGTCGCCTTGACATGAAATTCCCGACGCCACGTGTGCAAAATGAATCGCAAAATGTATAAATTAAAGCGCGCATACGCGCGCGCGCGAGATAAAAATATTTCATCACACGAGTCCCGCGCGCACACCGCGAGAGTGCCGCGTACTCCTCGCGCCGAGCGGAGCTTTGCGATCGAATATTAATATCTCGATACTATCGTTAGTACTTTCGTACGAGGGCACGGTATCGCGACGACACAACACGCACGTACACACACGTGAACCGCGAGCACGCCTGCGCGAGGAAACCACGCCGACGGAGTCGCGCGCTCGCTCGCTCGCTCTCTCCCCGTCTCTCTTGCTCTGTCCCTCTCTCTCTCTCATTCTCTCTCGCGAAGCCGGTGCGTTTCCGATTTTCGCGTCTCAGTCGCCGATGAGGAAGCAGCGCGTGAAGCAGCGGCGCCGTGACCTTTGGCCTTGCGCCTCTCCGAGGAGGCGCCTCGTGCGTGCCGCGAATTTTTCGTCGCGCGAGCGGCC